TCCAGCTCCGACTGCCTCCACACCCTCCCCATTCCCCAGTTCAGGACTCAGCCTGGTCCTGTTTCTCGCAGCCCCGTTTCTGTTTCGGGGTATCCCGTGCACGCCAATCTTTGGTTGATGCTTATCTTGGGCTCTTGAAAGTTATTTTCGGGGACTTCTTTGTTTGTCAGACACCGTTATAGCGCCCAAAGTGTGATTGATGTGTGCTTGAGCACGGATGGCTTAAAACTTTAAGCTGTTATCAGCTTGAAGGAACGTTCCTAACGGGCACATTTACTTTTCCGGTAGAGATGTGTTGGAAAAATGAACCTTCCAGAGAGATTAGTGGATAAAGGGGCAAAGATTAGTTATCCTTCTCCATTCCGACACTGATAATTTTAACCTACAATTCGTTCCCTCGAGACACCTGAAGGTTGGTGAATTCTCACAAATTAAATGGAACAAGAATTAAATGCTGCCTTCTAAGTGTCGTCTTTAGGCGCAGTTTAACTTTTTCACCTGACACTTCGCTCCTTAAACGTGAGAGGAAACAATACTAGTTTAAACTTATGCTTTTAAATGCCTTAGGTGTTATCCCCTATACGCATTTCTTCCTGCTGGGAGTTGCTGAGATGTGCCGAGGAGTGAAAGTTGACTCCGGTGCGTGAAACGACGCTGCTAAAAACCCGCTAACAAAGACGAGCATCCCTTCACCACGTCAAAACTGCCTCACCTGTCATTTTGACCCCGGCATGTGGGAACGGGCGCGGCAGTCTGGAGGGGAACAGCTCTCCCTCCAGAAGGAAATGATCAGCGCTCACCGAACCAGTTGCTTTGCTTTTTTTTTTTTTAATTCTATTTTTTTTTAGTCAAGAGGAAGAAAATCGCTCGGAGCGACTCACGGAATGAAACCCGGAAAGTTGCGGGGGGCCCGGGGGGGTGTGAGGGATGCCCGGCTGGCACCGTCCCCACTCGGGGAAGGGGCTCCGCGGCCGCCCCGCCGCTCCCACCGCGGAGAACCGCGGAGTCGGATCCGCTCCCGGCTCCGAGAGCCCCTTCCCCAAACCTTCGGCCGCCGTTTATGCCCCTAATTGTATTTACGGCACGGAAGATGCGCTGCTGGAGGCTCCCTCCTCTTTACCGGCGGGTCCTCGCCGGGGCTGGAAGGGTTTTTTTTTTCCTCCCGGAGTTCCGCGGTGCCTTTTACCTGCCGCTGGATCCGACTCCCTGAGCCGAACCGAGGGAACCTCCAAAGTGCAAATCCCGATTTATCGGCGGCTGCACGGGTACAAACGCCTCTTTTACCGGGTGAATTTACAGCTGAAGAGTCGGAGAGAAGGGCTTTTCACTCGCTTTAAACACGATTTGGGCTTGAAATGCGGAATCTAGAGCAGGAGCCTGTAATTTCAGAAGTATTTAAGGACTCCTGTCCTCCTGCAGCGTGTCTTAAAGGCGAGAAACTTAGTTGGGGGGGGGGGGGGGGAGAAAATTATGTCCCCTAAAGCGCTGCCTCTGCCCGGAGAGGTGAGACGGCGGGTCCGGGGTCGCTCACAACCCCCCCCGGGATCGTGGGGAGGGCACCCCAGGGCCGACAGTCCCCGCTGGGACCCCTATCTCCTTCCCCACCATCGCGGGGAGGGCACCCCGGGGCCGGGAGGGGACGAATCCCTGCATTTTCTGTGCCTGAAGTGCAGAATTGTGGTGGCAGCTGTTTGGGGCGAGGGGAGCGCATCCCCTCTGACCCGCGCCCTGCCCTCTGACCCGCCATGAATCCCTAAAAGCGGGGGTCCCCCGGGGCCACGGCACACGAGCCCCTTTTGTTCCCGGCGCTGGCACCGTCCCGGGGGTCTGGAGCCACCGGGCTGGAGCTGAGCGAGCGTCTGGGTTGGCCCCGACCTTGCAGGGACAGGCTCGGCTTTATCCCCAGGAGCGAGAGGCTTCGGTTATCAGGGAACGTTCTCTCCTTGTGAATCCGTCGGCCAAGGTTACACCGAGTGGGAATTCCGCCCCCCTCCCCTCCCGTCCCTGCCTCAGGTTTGAGAATAAACGCAGGAACCGTCGGAGTGGCATCGCCAAAAACGATCTTAGGACAAAGAGGGGGCTTTCATTCGAGGAAATGTACCCACGCCTATTGCGAAATGGTTAAAAAAAAAAAAATCACCATAATATACCTTCCCATCGCCTGTGTATTTATCACGTACGCTGTGCTTTTCTCACGGTTTTCTTTTTTTAATTTATCTTACCCCCTTTGGTTGGATCGGGCTTCTTTAGTACCGAGAAATGGCATCTCGAAGATGCTGAGATTGTATCTGCAAAGACCGGCCTCCCCTCTGTAGCACCGTCAAAATGCTGTTGCTTTTCTCCGACGCTAAAATAACGCCAGGCTCGCCTTTTGCTAACCTGGCAAAATCACTTCCTGCATATTTATCAATTTGGGGAGGTGGGTTAGCATGGCAAATTTCCCTGAACAAAGATTGGGTGAGATGTATTAGTTCATCCAATACCATGTCTGTCACTTATGTTAGACAGAATAAATCGGAGTCCCGGCTTTGCCCTTAGTCGTGCCTGAATTAAGGATACATTTTTATGAAAGTTTTATGGGAAGATTTTAATTTGCGATTCTTTTAGCAGAGAACTGTATGAAACTCTATGAAAATAATCTAGTATATAATAGGTGGCTTTTTGAAACGCGGCCGAACGTGGATGGAAGGAGTCCGGATTTATTCTGAAATGGAAATTATAGTTGTATCCCGTTAAAAAAAGCCCAAAAAAACCCCAAAACACCAACAAAGCAGGTTAAAGAGAGGAGCTGAACATAATGAGTCAAGGAAATCCTTGCGCTGTCCCTTTAACCACCGAACATCTGATTCCCTCATCTGGCAGATGGTCTCTGAGCACAGATTTGCATTCATTGTCTTGAAATCTGTTTTCGCGTTGGTGTTATATAGGTTTCAGAGGCAGATCTATACACGGATCAGAATACAAAAGGGCCAGGAGGAAAATATCGCCAAGGCAGAGCGGTTTAAAAAAAAAAAAAAAAATTAAAATAAATGCAGGCGTAGGTATCGTCCGGGGTCACAGCGGGCTGGGCTGGGGCGAGCTCCAGTTTCCTTTAATGGGAAATTTTGCCTTCACGGGATGTTATAAAAAGTTTTAAGGCGATGTCTGACAGCTCGCGTGGTGTAACTTCGGGCTCTGCCGGGTGCCTTGCAGTGTCTGCCTGGCTCTTGCCCTGCAGGCAGCCCCTTCCTACAACCCCCCCGCGGACCCATTTCTCTCCCTCCGAGCACTTTTAATTTTTAAATCCCGCGCCCGAAACCAAACCAGCCAACTAAACCTGTGCGGCGGCTTTGGCAGCGCAGCGCGGGCAGAGCTGCAGCGATCGCTGCTTTGGAGGCGCAGTTTGTGCCTTCTGGGCCAGCACCGTTCGGTGTGTGGCTGTCGGGCCATCACGACAAATCATCACGATAAATCATCACGATAAATCATCATTCCCCTGCCCGGGCTGCGGCTGCCCCAGGGCGGGCGCCGGGAGTGGTTCTCCCGCTCCGGCCCCGCTGCTTTTAGCCCAGTTTGGGCGTTCTGTGCGGGGCTGCCGGGCCAGCACGATAACCCAGCATCGTAATCCAGCACGATAACCCAGCACTGTAACCCAGTACGATACCCCAGCATTGTAATCCAGGACGATAACCCAGCACTACAACCCATCACGACAAACCCGCGCTTCCCCTGGCCGGGCTCGGCGGTGCCGGGGCGGGCACCGGGAGTGCTTCTCCCGCTCGCCCCTCTCCAGCCCCGCTGATTTTAGCACAGTTTATGCGTTCTCGGCAGCACCGTTCCGTGCGGGGCTGCCGGGCCATCACCATAAACCATCACGACAACCCATCACGATAAACCCACGGTCGCCCTGTCCGGGCTCGGCGGTGCCGGGGGGGGGGCACCGGGAGCGCTTCTCCCGCTCCGGCCCCGCTGCTTTCAGCCCGGTTTGTGCGTTCAGTGGCAGGACCGTTCTGTGCGGGGCTGCCGGGTCATCCCGGTACCCCATCCCCATCTCCCATCCCGGTACCCCATCCCGATCCCTCATCCCGTACCCCATCCAGATCTCCTATCTCGGTACCCCATCCCGATCTCCCATCCCGGTACCCCATCCCGATCTCCCATGCCGTACCCCATCCCGATCTCCTATCCCGGTACCCCATCCCGATCTCCCATCCCGGTACCCCATCCCGGTACCCCATCCCGTACCCCATCCTTATCTCCCATCCCGGTACCCCATCCCAATCCCCCATCCCGATCTCCCATCCCGGTACCCCATCCCGGTACCCCATCCCGATCTCCCATCCCGGTACCCCATCCCGGTACCCCATCCCGATCTCCCATCCCGTACCCCATCCTTATCTCCCATCCCGGTACCCCATCCCGACCTCCCATTTCGTACCCCATCCCGGTACCCCATCCCGGTACCCCATCCCAATCCCCCATCCCGGTCCCCCATCCCGGTACCCCATCCCGGTCCCCCATCCCAATCCCCCATCCCGGTCCCCCATCCCGGTCCCCCATCCCGGTACCCCATCCCGGTCCCCCATCCCAATCCCCCATCCCGGTACCCCATCCCGGTACCCCATCCCAATCCCCCATCGCCGCAGCCCCGCCGTTCCCAGCCCGTGCTCGGCGGTGCCGCGGGCGGGCACCGCGCGCGCTCCTCCCGCTCCGGCCCCGCCGCTTTTCGCCCAGCTCGGGCGTCCTGCTCCGGGCCGCCGGTGCCCCCCCCCGCCACCATCCTCCCCCCATCCCGACATCCCTCTCCCCTGTCGCGACATCCCCGTCGCCCCTTCCCGGCGCGGGCGTGACGGAGGGGGCGGGGCTCGGCCTCCCGCCCCGACCAATCACGGCGCGGGATGCAAATGAGATCGCCTTATAGGGCGTCGGGCCCCGCCCCCGTGCGCGCTCCCGCCGTGTGCCGTTGATGGCGCGGGCGCTGCGCGGGCGCGGGAGGGACCACGCGCTGCTCGCTCCGCTCCGTCCCTTCGCCTCCCCGCCGCCGCTTTATCCACCCCCCTCCTGGTGTTTCTCCCCCCCCCCCTTTCCCGGATTAGGCGGCGATCAATCCTTTCTCCCCGCCGCGGTCTGTTGAGAAACAGGTGATCCTCGTTAGCGGCGGCCGGTTCGCGGATGCGGTTCGCTCCTCGAAGGATGGTGGTACCGGGCGAGGCTCAGTCGGCGTAACTTCTGCTTGGCAAGAGGAGAAACTTTCTGCCCCGGTTCGAAGGCGTTAAAAGCGCGTAGCGTTAAAAAGCAGAAGGAGTTGGTTTGAAAGCTGAACTTCACTTTCCTGGGATTTGTGTGTGTCAGACTCAAAGGCTGCGTCGTTTTTGCTTTTCTTTTTTTGTATTTTTTTTTTTCTTCCCTTCTCCTTTATCTCCCGAAAGGAAACTGTTGCTAGTTGGAATAGACTTTTTAAATGTTTGGGATTCAAGATACTTTAGGAAGAGGACCAATTCTGAAAGATAAATCTCTAGGTTCTGAGATGGATTCCGTCAGGTCCTGGGTCAGAAACGTTGGGGTTGTGGATGCAAACGTAGCAGCACAAAGGTAACCGTGACTATTTCTTCCCCACTTTCCCCCTGCGTTTTATTTCTTTTTTCTTCTTTTTTTTTTTTTTTTTTTCCTTTTTAAAGCAAGCCTTTCCTTTACTCCTTGTTGTTTGCATTTGATATTAAATTTACTCTCTCCCTTTCTGTCCCGCTCCCGGTCTCCTCTAGTCAGTGCAAATTGAAGGTGGTAGCAGTAGAGCAAGGGAGAAGCGCTCCAAAACCGGAGAGCATCAGAGTCCTAAAACCCCGTGCAGGGGCTCAGATGACAGCGAGATCGGATCCTTCTTTCGTTTTCTGCACCAGGAAGATGCTGGGGCAGTGGGTTGGTTGTACCCGGAGATACAGAACACTCCTTCCCGCTTCCCGGGTCACGCAGCCGGATAGGAGGGGACCGAGTTAGAATTAACTGAAATGTGGATCTTCCCCCCCAAACCTCCGGCCCATCTTCTTTTACTTAGTTCGCCGTGGCCGTTGCCGAAATGTTCACCCGTGGGTTCGAGGCGGGTGACAGACTAAGCCAGGCAGGCAGAGCAGGGGCTGGGTGAGCAGAGGAGGGCACAGATATCCCGGAGCCCCGCGGGCATCCCTCTGCCCGGAGCACCTGCCCGAGTGTCCGAGAGGTCTCTGCTGAGCCCAGATGCCAGCGAACACCCCGAAACTGTTTGTTCTTTACTTGTTTGGGCGAGTTATCTCCCCCCACGCCCGTCTTTTATTTTCTCTTCCCAGCCGAGTCGGCACAGGACAGTTATTCCAGTCTCTTCCCGTTAGGGGTAAAAGGATGAAACCCTTTTAGATATTTTATTTTCCTCCTCGGTCTCTGAACAGCCTTAAAAAAAAGTTAAAAAGGAAAAAAAAAAAAAAGAAAAGAAAAAAGTAGCAGCGTCGGGGAAGGCTAAATTGGGAACCCCGGGAATAAGTCGGGTTTTATTTAGTAGGGAGACAAGGTGAAGGGCACGAAACAGCAGATGAGACTTCAGCTGAAACAGGGACGTTTTAGAAAGAGTACATCCGTGCCCCCACCCACGGCCTGATCCGGGAGCGAGGTTTTCCAAGCGCCAGGGGAGGAGTTATCAGAGTTTTATGGATGTCGATAGACCCTTTAATAAATGCGACTGAGGGGAAGGAGGTTTATTCCCGAGGAAACCGAAAGTAAAAGGAAAGGGCTCCTGAGAAGCCTCTAATTCACGGGAGCGGTGGAGGTGCAGCCCGCGGTTGTGCTGCCCGCTGGCATCGCCAGGTTTTTCTGCAGAGATTCGTAATAAACCAAGAAACGCGAGTTTTTACACGCAGAATGAGAGGAAGCCCCAAACTAGGTGCAGTTGTGGCGGATGTGGTGAGTTCACACCGTACCTATTTGGCAAGGGAAACACGGGGAAACATCTGCGGTTCTCCGAAAGAGTCAAAACACTTTTTGTCAGTGCTGTGGAGCTGTTTTGGGGACTGCAAAACAAAGATGTTCTGACTCTTAACTAGGCTGTCAGACGCTTAATCTGTCTATTAAGTAACATGGAGGTGCTCATGTGCGCCTGTTTCCTCTGCAGTAAGTAGAAACCGGCTTTAGGGAGAGGGAGCTACAATTAGTTTCATGAAGAAATAAAGCTGCAGCGAGGGATACTGTGGGTAAGCACAAGCATTTGAATCTTTCCAAGCCGGGAAATGCGTGGGAAACATCCCTGCATTTTCAGCACTCAGGGACAAGATTTGGGCAAGGGCTGATTAACCCGACTCTAAATTCTTTCCGCTTAAATCAGAGACTGAAGTCCCGGGAATCGGTTCAAGTAACTCAGTGACTAAAGACAAACTTCGCTGCTGAGGAAAGTGGCTGCCCTGCTTGAAACTAGTTGTCTCTGCCCCAAATGTGGGTGTCCTCGAGTTGACAGCGCGCCTGTAGGAAAGATTTTAAGGTCGCTTAGTTTTGCCTGCGGGAAAAGGGAGCGGGATGTGCAGGGAGCACTTCCAGACTCTCGGACACCCCGCAGCCACTTCCCACCCTGCTGCATTCCGGCCACGAGTGTGACGGGCGAGAAAACAGGTAGAGGAGGAAGGGAACACTCAGTGCATTTAGCAATAACTTCTTTAACACTGAGGGGCTGTAAATGATTGTTGTCCTCGGGTACAGACAGCGGGGAAAGCCGAACTCCCATTTCAGCGACAGCCCCGTCCCGCCCGGCTCCCGGCGGGGACCGGGGACAGAAACGAGCGTGTCCTGCCTTTTCTGTTGTTTTGCTGATACTGCTGCACAACCTGGTAATGTCTTTGTCTCTCCCCCCTCACCCCATCCCGTGTGTTTCCTCCACAGCGGAGTAGCTTTGTCCAGAGCCCACTTTGAAAAGCAGCCACCCTCCAACTTGAGGAAATCCAATTTCTTTCACTTTGTTCTGGCTCTCTACGACAGACAGGGGCAGCCCGTGGAAATAGAGAGGACAGCTTTTGTGGACTTTGTAGAAAATGATAAAGTAAGGCTTGTTACCTTTCTTCTTCCTCTTCTCCTCTCCAAATTTAATGTTCCCCCCCTACACTGAGCTGATAACTTGTAATACCTGTTGTCCCTGACAAAACACAACCAGAGCTTGCTCAGGGTTCAGGTGCTTTCCTGGAGCTGTTGCCCTCTTTGTGCTGCTGTAGTTAAAAAAGCTTGGAAGCCACTGCTATGTCAGGAACACGGTGGGAGTTTCATACACCCACTAAAAATGAAATAAAATTCATAGGGGGTAAATGCACTTCTTTTTTTCGTACCTATTAGATCTTTATTAGTACCTGAACAGAAGTGGAATCTCACCTGTAATATGTTATATTCTCTGTTGAGTTTGATTATATATATTTCTTAAGAGTCCAGGATAACTGGCAGGACTTGAAAAGCATTTGCTTTTTATTTTTAAATCCGTGTCTTGACCACTTTGCATTTTTCCAATTATTTTCTTAGACAGGGACAAGATTTTTTAGAAATTGTGAATCATAAATAACTATCTTATAGGAAATTGCTGTTAAAAAAAAAAAAAAAAAGGCAAAACAAGCAAGAAACATCCCTGTAACACAACCTTCAGGAAACAAATCTCAATAATGACTCAAAATAACAGGTCAGAAACCGAACTCACTGAGCTTTCCCCCTGCTTTAGATTTGAAATGCACAAATTCTTCTCAGGGTGTTGCCTTGAAAAAGTTGAGAGCACAATGGCAAATAAGAGAGGGAGAGAAGTTCTTGAACTCCTGCAGGAAAAGATGTCAGCAGTATTTTGTAGTTTGTCCTGGGTCACTCGGAAGGTTAATACATCCCAATCAGTGGATTCACCTCTCGGAATTTTAATGAACTTTGTTGTCACTTCCATCACGATTATCAGCTCTCTTGCATTTTAAATGTGCCAAGTGGAAGTTCTGGAAGGGTTTTTCTTTAATTCCCCCTCAGGAGCAAGGCAACGAGAAGACGAACAACGGCACACACTACAAACTGCAGCTCCTCTACAGCAACGGTGAGTCCCCCTCCCAGCCCTCCCGGAGGCTGCAAAGGCTGCAGGTGCTGCCACTGATTCCTAAAATTCCCAGAAATCCCCCTCCGTGAGGCCCCTTCAGCGCTGGGATGGGCCCTGGAGTTTACCTGGGCTCGGGGAACAAAATTCCCCGGGCTTGTTGAGGGCGTTTAATAAAGGTAAATGATGAAATATTAAGGTTTAACACTGAAACTAAAGGGGTTTGTGCTGCTGGTGAGGGAAAGGCGCCCGTCCCAACGCTGTTTCTTCCTCCTCTCCCTCGCTGTAGGTGTCAGGACCGAGCAGGATCTCTATGTCAGGCTCATCGACTCGGTCACCAAGCAGGTGAGCAGAGCTGGGATGTGCCCCCTTACCCTGTCCCACCTCACCCTTCCTTTCTCCTCAACATCTCCCTGCCTGCTTTTATCCCTCTGCTTCATTTTTGTCTCTTGTCCAGCTCTATCCCACACCTGGTTTTGAGGTGAATTGAAAAACAATGCTCTTCAGCCTCGTTTTTTCCCCTCTCTGAACTGCAGGTTTTATCCCCTTTGCCCCAATATTTCTGTAAAGCTGCTTTCCCTGCACATCAAGGCTTTGGGGGGAGATATTTATTTGCCTGAGCAGTGGTAAAAACCTCTTCCCCTCACACCTGAACGTTATTATAATTAATGCTCCTGTCTAACCCCTTTCACCTGATTTTTGTAGCCCATAACTTACGAGGGACAGAACAAGAACCCCGAGATGTGCAGAGTGTTGCTCACCCACGAAGTCATGTGCAGGTAAGATGACTTTATTTGCTTCCTTAGATGCCAAAAAAGGCCTTTCTGATGAAGCTGTAGGTAGGAAGAGTTTGATTTTTGTATTTATTTGTTTTGCTGTTGACGCAGAGAAGTTCTTTGTGTAGGAAGACTTTCTTTTTCACACGTGGATAATACTTGATTTGGGTTCAAAACAGATATTTGGGGCGTTTTTTGCCTTTTTTTGTGCCTTTTTTTTTTTTTTTTCCCTGCAGGAGATTTAGCAACCACAGCTGTGCTGGTTTTGTTTAAACCAGGCCTTTGCATGTGCTTTTAAACGGAGACTTTTAGATGCTGATTTCTTACAAAATTCCTTCTCACCTTATGAGAACGAGCAGTTTAACTTATGTATTTTTACCTGGAAACTGCCCAAGGCGGTTTTGTGCAATTTTCTTTGGTGAACTATTTTAATTTTCCCTCAATTAAAGTAACATCATCAGTGCTCTTTAATTTTGCCCCCACCAAAAGAGAAACCCCTCGAACCAAAACACAAACCCTTCCTTCTACATGTGAACAATATTTAGGGGGCTTCCACTTTTTAATTAAAAATCCACACGATTTTAGCATGTAAAGGTATAAATTAGAGGGTAAAACGAGGATGTTTTTAATAACATTTGTGTAAGTCTGAAGTTACATGTACCTCATGTATGTACATCGTGCTTCCATGGTAACTTATTACTTTTCCTGTCCTCGTGTAATGAAATTTTTTTTCAATACATACAACAGTGCAAACAGCCAATGCTCTTATATTAAAACATGTTAAATTGTGCATAGAATGTTCCTTCATAACACGGGAGGCAAACCCCAGTCCTGACCTTTATTAAACACGGGTTGGGATTTATTGTATCGGTGGGAGAGGGTTAAGTTTTCAGACTGAGTGTTGCTTCTTTTAATGTTGCAGTTTGCTACTTGATTTATTTATTTATTTATGTAATATTTTTTTTTTTTTATTTCTTTTAAGTTAAGAGCAGCTTATTTGGGCAGATTTTTGCAAAGGGAAAGTCTCAGGTTTCGGTACTTCATTATTTCAACGATTCTGTTACTTTATATACTAAGAATCAAGTTCATGTATATTATTCATCTCTTGTGCTTAGCTCTCATTAATTAAAAAAACGAGCTTTTGACCAACATTTCCATATTTATACCCCAAACACAATGTATATCACATATGAGGGATACAGAGGATGGGCTTTACAAGGACCTGTAGATGTGGTAGCAAAGATCAAGGGTCTATAAGTTGCTTTCTGGCACATCTAGAACTTGTGTATGTATTTAATATATATATATATATATACTGTTCAAAGTCTTCACTACAACTAGGTGGGCACTAGAGAAGAAAAACCTGCATTGTGCAATTAGGTTGTGGTTTGTGCTAATAAAATAGCAGTGGCCACACTTCATCCCTCCCCACTCTTCCTGTGCAAAGTGCAGCTCTGGCTTAAAATATTCCAGCACCTCCTCATCCAAACGGACTTGTTGGAACTCAAACCAAGCTGGCTTTTCTCTTGCTTCTTGGCCGTGCCCTTCTGGCCCCAAATGCCCTGTTGGAGGTACCTGATGCCTGTAAACCCCCCCCCCCCGTGCTCGATTTGAGGCTGCACAAAATCCACCCCGTTATTCTGATTACACTGAGCTCTGCTGCCTGATGGATCATCCAGGGCAGAATTGCAACTCGGGGACGTCCTCGCCGTGTAAAACACAGATCAGTGCGGGAAATCAAAGGCTTTCTGTAACCTAATCAAGACATTTGAGTTTTAAACGCCGCGTTTTCCTCGAGTGCCTCCGCCGGGTGCTCTGAAGAGGCATCACTTTGAATAACGCCAAGGGAACGGCTCCGGCTCGAGCCGAACTTGACATTTTATTTTATTTCTTTTAAGTACAATAATCAAATCTCCCTCATTGTGAGCTCCTTAAGTGGCGGCATCAATTTTTAAAGGCCCTGGTTTAGTTCGCATTAGGAACAGTAGATAAAAATTTAATGCACTGTACCCACTCTGCTGTCCAAGCTGATGCCTCCTGCTTTTAAAAAGGAAAAAACAAGAAGGGTCTGTCTGTCTTTCTGCTCTTCTTCCACTGGTTGAAGGTAGGTTTTTTTTTGGAGGGGGTCATTTTTATAATCACACACAGAGATATTTTTGCTTTATAGAGACAAACACACTCGTACCTCAGCATTTCCCCCCCCAGACAGTGACAGATGCATCTTAGCAGGAAAGTTGTCTAAATATTGATGTGGCTGCACCAATCTGTCGGACACCCCCGGAAAGTTCACCCCTCAACTCCCAACAATCAGTGCTTTCCGTCTGAGGCTCTATTTCTTTCTTTATTTATTTGAAATTTTCCCATGTCCACTATTTCTATTTCCCATTATTCCAGCCTACCCTAGGTGGGTTTATATGGAATAACACAACCCCGGTTGGAAAACAAGGTAAACACCCTCCTCTGCCGGAATAACTTTATTTCCACCCCCCTACCACCCCCCCTTCTCTCTTCTTCTCTTTCTCCCAATTATCGACTAAGAGGAAAGTAGTTGTTATGCTGCTGCCAGCAACCCCCTCTGCCCTCAATGCTCAGAGGGTTAAAAGGTATTATAATTTGAACAGAAGTAGTCTCAGGCCTACAGCTGGCTAATAACAGAGTTGTATTGAGTGCGAGCGAGCCCCACAGCTGTGACTTTCGCCACAAGGCTCAGACTAGACGGGAGCTCTAATCAGCTGGGCCAGGCGGCCGCTGGGGCCCGTGTCTTTATCGGCCAGATGGTGTGAATTTAGACACTTTTGTTATGCAATTGCAGGGAGGAGTTGGGGGAGAAGAAAACAAAACAAAGGCCACCATGCTGCGAGCTTATTTGAGTTTGAAATTAGAGACAGATTTTTTATTTATTTATTTATTTATCTACTTATTTATTTATTTTATTTTTATTTATTTTATTTATTTATCTTATTTTTATTTATTTTATTTATTTTATTTTTATTTATTTATTTATTCTAATTTTTAGTTATTTATTTATTTATTTTATTTATTTTTATTTATTTAATTATTTTATTAATTTTTATTTATTTATTTATTTATTTATTTATTTATTTATTTATTTATTTATTTATTTTTGATTTTGGTGTCGGAGGCTGAATTTTCTTAAAACCGTTTTAGGATGTAAGTTTGGCTCTCTGGACACTCGAATTGTAGGGCTGGTGTTGTCTCTTCCTAACACAAACCACCATTTTCATCATATAGATCTAATTAGAGGAGAAAGTATAACAACAAAAGATGTGGAAAGCAGAAGTCTTCAGCCTTGATATTCTTGTCTTAAGCATCTCTAAAGGTGTGTTCCCAGCCCAACATTATAGCAGAAATGTAAATATTGGGGAAGTCACACCAGTAATTTACTCAAAGACCCTGGACCACTTATTTGAGTTTGAAATTAGAGAGATTTATTTTTTATTTCTTTTTATTTTGGTGGTGGGGTGAGGGTAGGGTGAATTTTTAAAGCCATTTTAGGCAAGTGTGAGGATGTAAGTTTGGCCTTCTGGACGCTCAGTTTGTAGGTCTGGTGTTGTCTCTTGGAGCTTTTGGTTTTCTGGGTTTGTTTTTAGTTTTTTCCTGGACCATTCAAAACATAAACCACTATTTTCATCATATAGATCTAGTTAGAGGAGAAAGTATAACAACAAAAGGTGTTGAAAGTAGAAGTTTTCAGCCTTGATATTCTTGTCTTAAGCAAATGAGCATCTCTAAAGCCCAGCATTGTAGCAGAAATGTAAATATTGGGGAAATCACCCCAATAATTTGCTCGAAGAGAATCTCGTAGGTTAGACCCTGGACCACCTCTTTGAGTTTGAAATTAGAGAGATTTATTTTCTATTTCTTTTTATTTTGGTGTGGGGGTGAGGGGAAGTAAGTTGGGAGCTGAATTTTTAAAGCCATTTTAAGCAAGTGTGAGGATGTAAGTTTGGCTTTCTGGAGAATATTCAAATAGAATATTATGGGTTTGATCCTGGACTACCAGAGTTTGGGGTTTTTGGGTTTTTTTTCATATGGATCTGGGCTCTGAAAGTGTTACAGTCAAAGGGAACAAACCCCATCACTCCGAGAAAAATCTGTGACCCCAAAGTGATAAGAATGTAGGTGTTGGTAAAATGCTTGGAGAACTTCAGCTGCAAGCCATGGGTTTGGAAAGAAAGTGTTTCTATATTAAAAATGTGAAGTTCAGAGCTGCAGTAACTGGGAAAAGGAAAATAAACCAAGATGCACTTATTGCAGGACCCAGACAGGTTCAATCTCACATAACTCATCCTAAAAAAACTCTGCCAAGGAATGGCAACATCCCTGGAAGGGGGGATGAGGTGCTGGGGTGTGGTTCAGGTGCTGCTGGTGGATCCCTGAACGCTCCTGTGGTGCAGGGCAAGCAGAATTATTTTAACAGCCACCTGCAAAACTTACACGAGGAAAGGATATTTCATTTCATCTTATGGCAAAGAGGGGAAGCAACTGCTCTTTCAGCTGTAAAAAAAACCAAAGGGAACACGACAGAAATATCTTTAAAATCGAGTTCCTTTTGTTGCTTTATTACAGGGACACATAAACCAGCAAGGCATTTATTCCCAATGTTATTTTCGATGCCTCCTTCTATTGGACGTGCCAGAGAACGTGCCAAATTTCTGTTATTCTGAGAGGGTTCTCTGCTTTTTTTGGGGTGGGTTTGTTATTATTTTCTCCTTCAGAAAACATCTCACATCCTGGCTTTCAGTGCAAAAATACCCCCATTCTTTAGAAACAACTCTTAGAGCGGGGGGGGGGGAAATACATAAAAGAGGCACTTAAAATAAAGTTGGGAGAAGGAGGGAGTGGGATATTCTGAGCTGGTATGAATTTCCAGAGCTGCACTGAAGTCGATGGAGCCCTGACAATTTACAGCAGCTCCAGGGGCTGCCCCAGGGATTTTTAAATATTTAGTGTCTCCTTTTATTTTAAAAGGATTGGCATCGATGAGTAAGTGCAGGTTTGAGGCAATGCAGGAATGTTGAAACACGTGGAGCTGTTATTCAAACAGAGCTGCCACTTCCAGCTCATCTCACTGGGCAATTCCTGGGAAACAGGAGGTTCCTGGAACACCCTGGAAGTGCAGGAGGAAAGGCAGGCACTTGGAGTTTTTCACATCTGAGAGAGTTTTTTGTCTAACTGCTCGTTTTAGGGGTTTATAATTGAATATTAGGCATATCAAGGAAAAAAAAAAAGCCACTTCCATATTTTCTGTTGCCTTCGGTGAGTTCAAGTATTTTATTGAAATTATTGGGGTTTTTTTAATTTTATTTTTGATCCCTCTGCTCCCTGGCTGGAAAACTGTGGGATTCAGACTGATTGGAGAATTCTATGGGTGTATTCAGCACCTCTCACACCCCTGTCCAAAAACCTAAAGAATTTCTCCATTTCATGTGTAAATTTGAATAATCTCTGCAGGATGAAACATCACTGGGAAAGACATTTGAGTAACTTAAGGCACAACCTGATCTGGGGATTTTTGAGGGATTTTGGGCTTCTAAGAGAGTCTTCTTAAAGTTTTGGGGGCCTCCATCCTCCCCTTCCCCTGTTGGCTTTGGTTGGAACAATCTCCTCGAGCATGAAAACAGCTTCAATCTTCAAACAGATTTTTGTGTTGCTACAAATTATTAAAATTGTGATTTTTTTTTTTTTTTTCAGAGTAAAGACTGTTTTTAAAGTCTATTAAACTTTTGGTACTCAGCTGCTCTATGTGCAAGGAGCATCACCCATGTCAATGGGTATATAAATTAAAATAAAGATAATTTGTCTCTTGATTTTAATATTATTTTTGAATTAATTAATATTATTATTATTATAAAAAGTGTATAAATATATGCTTAATCTTAAGGTCTTATCATCACTAAAAGAATTGTAAAGGGGTTGCAAATGCCAACCTGGAAAACATCCCTTCAGATCCTTACTGGGATCTAAGTGTGTTCAGCTTCTGGTTTTTCATTTAGCCTTGAAGTTTAAACTTTAGTTGAGCATAAAACTAAGGGGCTACTCGATACTTAATAATCAAAAAATCAGTTATTGCAATAGAACAAACCTTTAGGCTGCTTATAGTCAGTTCTAACACCTTTTGATGGACTTTTAACCCTCCACAACACGTGCTGCTCGTGCTGTAACGACATCATGACATCTGTTAATCACTTATTGTGTTTCTAAATATCCCTTTAGTCTAAGGTGTGACCATACTGCTGCTCCTTTCTGGCTGGGAAATCCAAAAAAGGATTACAGGGATCCAAGTGCCCAAATCCAGCTGGGACCAGCCAGGACTTGGGCACCCAACTCCCTGAATTCTTCTCCCTTCTGGAACGCCCAGCCAGAATTTCCAGCCCTCTGGAGCCCCGAGGGTTTGCTGGGATATTTTCTCTGGTTCCTTTGCTGTGAGCTGTCCCAGCAGTTCTTTCATTTGGGTTTTCTTTCCCTCTCCAGCCGGTGCTGCGAGAAGAAAAGTTGTGGCAACAGGAACGAGACTCCGTCCGACCCCGTGATCATCGACAGGTAGGAGATGAACCTTCCTGTTCCCACAAAAGCATCCCAGAATTGTTGTTCCCACTCTGAGGCGTCTTTCCTGCTGGTTGTCTGTCGGTCTCTGCCCCTTGACAAAGTTGATGTTGAGTTTTTCAATCGATGTCGACGTTTATTTTTCCGCGGGTGTCGTTTTTTTTTATGGGGGCCAAATATTCCCTGTGTGCACCTGGGATGCACTTTCTGCTGCCAGGGGATGTGATCCAGCTGGGTTACTGAAGGGAGATAAAGCTCTGAGCAGCCTGGCAGCTTCAGTGGTGTTCCTTAACAAAAAGAAAACAATGCTTTTGTAGAAATGTGGGGAGGAAGGAAGGGGTAAAGGGAAAGGTGGGACGAGTCAGGGGGGATTAAAACACAGTCTGAACAATTTTAGGCAGAACAGCCGCTTCAAATATTACTCAGGTCTAGGTTCTTTTGCCAGTTTACAGGTAATAACATCAATAGGGGAGAGCAGCAGTTTGCTAAATCATGACCTGGTACGTTAAAGGTTGTGTTTGGTGTAGGAAAACTTGCCTGTGGAACTCACTGGGTCAGCAGTGCTTGAGATCTGGAGCTCAGCAAGGTTCAAACAGGAAAAATCAGAATAGGCAGAGCTGTTTCAGAAAGGAGCACAAACAACCAAGGGCTCCAGAAGGAGAACAGTAAATAAGGAAGAGCCAGGAAGAAATGTCTCCCCCCAGATTATTCTGCAGTGCCTGTTTAAAGAGTTCCTTCTCCCTGAAGCAGCTGGTATGAGGGGCCAGTGGAGAGTTGCTGCTGGAGTGGATTGATTGTGGATTCAGTTTTTATGTCTGTCTGTGTCTGGTGTGTTCCATCTCCAGCCTAATAAGCATTATTTTGTTGTGGTATTGCTTGTGAATTTTCTTTGGCATTCAGAAACGGCCAAGCTGGTTTGAATAAAGAACTACAATTGTTTCCTTAATTTTTTCATCCTGGTAAATCTAAATAATTTTGGAACTCTGCTGTGATGGGGTTCTTCCACTCCCTTTACCCTCATGGTTTTCCCTTTTAATTCTGTACTTACAAGTTGTGGTTGGGGCCAGAGCTGGAGCTGGGCTGGCTGGGTGGGTGTGGGGGGCAGTTTCCTGACTGGAAGCACAAGTCTTAGATGTGCCATCTTGACCTTTCCTAAGAAATTTCGAGCTTATTTTTGGCTGTGTTGATGTTTGCTGTGAAATCTGCGTTTGGGAGCTTTCCAACCTGAAGTCTGAATTTTGTAAAGCCCATGTTGCTGCTGGAGGAGCAGAATGATGTCAGGCACTGTCTTTCCCTGGGAGTTAAGCCCAGGAAAGGGGTAGTTCCTACCCTTACCTGAATTTTTGTCATCCTGAGCAAGCTGTCCAGCCTCGTGCAAAATGAAGGTTCTGATGCTTTCTGTGAGGATTTGAGACCTGCTGATGTAAAAGGCAATGGCAGGGGGAAACTCTTAGAAACCACAGGGTTATTCTTTTGAACAACTGTGTGTAAAATGTGCATCACAAGGGACCTGAGTGCTCAGTGAGCCCTAAACCTTTCCTGAGTTCTGCTCTAAGCCCAGAACTTCCTGCTAACAGCAACAGGCATTCCCTGGGCATGGAAGCATCCTGGAGGTTCAGGCTGGCACTTTATTTCTGTGTGTTGGTCCTTCCCTTTCATCCCTCTGTGTGTGTCTCAATTGCATGTGAAATCTGGAGCTCAGCAAGGATGGGTGAGGGCAGGAAGGGAGCCAGCCTGACAAAGCTGCTGCTTTTGGGTTTAAAGGCAGTCACTCAATCAGATTCAGAAATGACTCCAAATCTGCTCTGCTCTCTGGAGGGGACACGTCTCAGTGACCAGAGTGGGGAATGAAAGCTAAACTCAAAGCTGAATATTTCTCTTTTTTTTTTTTTTACCACTAACCTGTGCAGTGTCAAGCAGTGACTCCTTCTCCTGTACAGTTATTTCTGCACAGCTCTTTCTGTTCCCCCCTCTTCACCCAGTCAAACAAGGCTTGAGCAGCCAGGGCTGATCCTGGGCACTGCATCAGAATCAACACTTGCCATGCAGGTACAACACCAGAGTTCTGGGCACAGAGGAACCCTTGGCTGCTCTGTCACCCTCCCATATTCCCCCAGCAATAAGTACAACTGCTTGGGAGTTCAGCTGCCCAGCCCACTCACCCAAAATACACACAATGGGTGAATTTTTTTTGTCTTACAACCAAGCAGAAAACATTTCTGCAGAGTCCTGCGTGCTCAGAACTCGGGGATCTGGGCAGCACTGCTTTTATTTATTTAGGAGGGGGCTTTATATGGCTTCTTTACAGGAAAACTTTCATGCTTAAGGACTTGGTAACTGGTGGAATTGAATTTCTGAACTGCAATTTGCACCCCCGGTGATCATGTGGGTCACTAAATAAGATTTTCAGTTCGTTATTTCTTTCATGGTGTGGTTTTTTTACTTATTTTAAAGCCGATTACAGGTTTTCTTTAAGCAATAATTGGAATGAAGGTGTTTTTTCCTCTGTTTGAAGTGATAGGTAAATGCAAAAACACGGCTGCTACGTTGTGACAGGTCCCCAGAGCAGTGAAACAAGTGAAGTGGGGAGAGAAGGGATGGCAAAAATGCATTTGTGTTGTGCAGAGCTGTGTCTAAACAGGGTGTGCACAGTGAGACAGGACCAGGGCTTTCATGGAATGGGATCACAGGATCATTGAGGCTGGAAAGATCTCCGAGGTCATTGAGTTCAACCACTAACTGAACATCCTCCCACCAGCAGTACAGTGATTTCTCCTTTATTTGTTTCTCTCCCCACTTTTTGGGCTTCCAGAGGTCAATTCTCAGACTGTTGTGCTGCTTTACCTGTTCCCTGCTGGAGGCAGACACAGTTCCTTGGTGTTCCCCAAGTCCAGGGGACTCGTTATCCCTGTTTGGAAAGGAAGAAACAGTTCAGTGGGAAAGAAATGTCGGCCATGTGGTTGTTGTTGGGGTGTTTTTTTTAATTCTCCTTGAAAGAATTCCAAAAGTTCTTATGCTGAATAAAACATTTCTGCAGTGACCTTTGCTCTGGGGGCTGGATTTAGATCCCAAGGACCTCGCAGTTATTTTTCCACTGGCTCTTGGAAACGAGGATGTTTCCATAGGAAAAGGAGCTTCTTCCCCAGAATTCAGTGTGTACCTTGTCCCACAGACAAAGGTCAGCGGGGTACATTGGAATATTTAGGTTCTTGTGGTGTTCTGAGTCAGAATTTCAGGGTAACTCTGACCAGGCTCTGGTTTCCCAGCGATGACACAGCTCAGCTCCTGCTGCTGCAGACATCAAACCCCACACGAACCCCCCTGGAGCAGAGCACTGAAAACACCCCCCCAAAACACCCTTGGAATTACATTTTTAACCCACAATCATTCTCACTCCGGGTTTTTTAGACGACACGAGCCACCATCAGTCCTCAAAACCTCCCAACAAGCTTTAACTTCGTGTCCAGGAGCCAAATTAACCTGTGTTAATTGGGTGTGGTTCGGTGTCTGCGGGATTGGGAGGTTTTAAGAGACTTCAGAAATGTAAATGTTGGGTTTTTTTCTCCCCCTCCCCTCATGGCTCAAGTGATGGTTCTCGAAGTTCCTTGTGGTTCCCAGAAATCAGAGCGTGATTTTTCTGATGTTTCTTTTATTGGAAGCACAGAAAGGGATTTGAAGTGGAGGGGTTGGAGGGCTTTTGGATAGAAGGGTGGAAGCTCCTTCTTTTAAAGGTGATGCTTCCAAATGAAAACTGTGTTTTCTCAAGCCTAGATTACAATTATTTAGTTTGTTGCCTTTCCCACCTCAGTTATGCACATAACAGGGAACTTGGTGTTAGGGTTAAGAGGTCGTGGATGCTACAAATTAACTTAATTCCTCACTTTACTGCAGATTTTCTCTCTAATTTTAGGTGATCTGTGTGGCTTTGGGTAGAAATTCCCCATTCATCAGATGGGAGCGATCTTTTGATTTTTATTTTCTTTGTGTTTCTTGAAGATTTAAGCTCTTTAGAGAAGGTCATTTTGTGTGCTTGTTACTCTTGGTGCTTTAATGAGTTTACTGAGACTGTGATCTAATTGAAGCCTCCAAGGTACTAGGGAGAATTGGGTGACTTTTTTTTTGGTTGAACAGTTTATTTGCTCTTCTTTTTTTTTTTATTATTTTTTTTTCCCCTTCCTAACAGAGAGAAACAATCAAAAGACATTTCTATGTGAGTCAAACGAAACCTCTTAAGAATCAAAAGAAAGTTTTATGCAATTCAAACGAAATGTCTTCATTGCAATAAAAATGCAGCATCACTGGGGTGGGACAGATTTTTTTTGTTGCTGCAGGGGAAATTACTGGGAACAGCCCAACAAACTGAGCACAAGCCCTCTGTAGGCTCTGCCTTCTTGGTCTTCTGCTGTCTTTGGGCTCATGGAACAAAATCATTCAGCTCAGATGCTTTCCCAGCCTGAACCTCGAGTCCAATCCCTCCTGCTTTTATCCTAAACTCTTCCTGGTTGTCCCATAAGGAGTTTAATGTGTGCTGTTACAACATTATACTTGTTTATTTATTGTGATTTATTTATTTAACGTGTCTTGTTACCACATTTTACTCATTTATTTATGGTGGGGCAGGTGGATGGGGTTGGAGGGGATTGTTGGCATGTGGGGAGTGTCTCTGTGGGTTGGGATGGGCTCTAACCAGTGAGGGTTAGATGGCATTGCCTGGCACCAGCTCAGCACTGGGCACACTGGTTTCAGGGGGTGGGGAACTGCAGCATCCATCAGCTGACACGTGCTCTCAGCATTTAGGGGTTTATGGTTATTATTTAACAAAAAAACCACCCATTCCAAGCCATGAGCACAGCTGGCAACTTGTCAGCATCTCTGGGAAGAAGCAGAGGAGCCTGGATGACATTCCTGGGCCGTGGGGGTCCAGCCCTTCCTGCACAATCAGGGCACCAGGGATGGAGGTTTCCTTCCCTGCTGGTCCCTGCCCTACCTGCTGGGTG